GTTGTAGAATGAAGAAAATGATGTTTATCCGAGGCAGGTACTGCTAGTTGCCTGCCCAGTATTTATGCTAGCCTTTTTCCTACTAACAGATTTCTGATTTTGGCAATAGGCCTGGCCAAAACAAAGCAAAAACGTTTGTTCCCCTGCAGGGAGAGGTTGCTATGTGCTAAAAAAGATGTATGCAGAAGTCACGAGGTGGTGGTGTAAACACCCAGCTCGCAACTGTCCTCTGCCTTTGTTCTTCCTCTGTCTATCCTGGAAGGTGCCAACCATGTCTGGAAGTAGAACAGCCATCTCATGATCATGAAGATGAGGGCCACAAATTAAGGATGAAAGAGTGGAAAGATAGGCATCGGGGTCCCTGTACTGGCCCTGGATTGCCCAGCTTTAGTCTACTTCTTAAAATAAGTACTACGTTTGATCAAGCTGCTGTAGGTGGGTGTCTATGATGTTCAGCTGAATACAATCCTTAACTGACAAACTACTTCATAGATGGTGTGAAAATTGAAGATGACAAACTACTAAACCTCAGGAATGCTCATATACCTGAAGGATGGTACTTAACATATTTTGTTTAAAGCAAATATATTATGTTCCCCCTTAGATTATAAAAGAGTACATAGGAAAATTTTAACTTTTCCCGAATTCCTAAGGGCCTGATCATGCTCATTTAGTGTAAACGTCTTAACATTACTTTGAAATAGGCAGGGATAAAAATGATTTAAAAAAAAGTATTTTATTATTGCCATTGAATGTGGTGGCCTACAGTACGGCCTATTGCTATGTTTTAAGGGATGGAAATGCTGGATTGTTACTCAGTCCATTTTTGTTGTAGTGTGCCTGCCTGTGCTGCAGATGCTGGAGTTCCCACTGAAGCGGGGGTTCTGGGTGTGATTTGCATTTGGCTAATCAGATTCTCCAGCATGAGATTTGGAAAGTGGAGGTTAGAGGGAAGCCACACTTTTGCTACATCGGCTGTCTGCTGCTCCCTTTTTTCTTACATCATCAGCAAAGAGCCCATGCACCAGCTTTGTTGGCTTTGAGAGGCTGGTCTGCCTGCATTCATCTATAGGCATACACTAGCAGGTGTGGTATGGTCTGGAACTGGTAGCCATAGTGGTTTCCTGATTGACAAAGTGTTTTTAATTCTCATAGAGTCCTGATGTTAGTGGGTTTCTGATTGCAGAAGAGGCACAGCTCCTTTGATGACCTGGTTCTGGGTGTGACTTGGGGAGACTTTTCTGAAAGTTCAACCTGAGCGTGTTTCTTTAGTCCTCCCAAATATCTCATAAGCTACTGAATATTTGAGTCCCTTTCTCCTTAAATTAGAGAGAGGGTTTTGTTCCCTGCAACCAAATCCAGAGCTATAGAGCTTCTTTTAGTGTTGTTTACCAAATATTTTGAGCTTTGAGAGGCATGTTATTTTCCCATTGAAGCCGTGATTATGGAAACAGATGTTGAGATGGAGACTATCTATGTGTGTCCTTGAGTGGCCATGGTGAACAGAGCCCTTTGAAGACCCTTCCAATGGACATGGAGCACAAGTGAAAATAAACTTTTTACTTAAGCTGCTGAGATTTGAGGGAAATTTTTAGACAGGATATGTATCTTATCCTGAAAGGATACTATACTTAGGAATCTAAGAGTAGGGTGCTGCATTGATAATAAAATAAACCCTAAAAGATATGGCATTGGCTTAACAGCTGTTTAGAAGAAATCAAGGAAATTATTACTGAAGTCTGGAGAAATGTAAATCAATGTTTCCTAGAGGAGAAATATTTGGTGAAACTGCTGCCTGCAATAAATTGGAAGGCAAAAAGCATATCTAACTTCAGGGAAGAGGTTGAAAATAGATTATTATTACAGTTTATTGGTTGTTAGCTGCATTTGACAAGCTATTACAGTCATGCATTGCAAAACAACATTTCAGTCAATGACCTACCATATATACAACAGTGGTCTCATAAGATTATGATGGCTATATTGTAAAGCCCAGGTATGTTATAGGCTATACCATCTAGGTTTGTGTAAGTACACTCTGTGATGCTCACATAATAATAAAATCACCTAATGACTCATTTCTCAGAATGTATCCCTGTTGTTAAGCAAAACATGACTGTATAAGAAAGAGATATGTTAAGACTTGGTCAGTCTGGGAGAATAAACAAGAGACTAGAAACAAGAGAGTCTACAATTCAGGGATTTTTAAGGTTGGAAAAGGCAACTGCTTCTCAGCCCAAACAGTAAAAGGTAAAATTGGTGCTTTGAGCCACAAAGGCCTATTAAAACTCAACTTTGCAGTAAGGATCAGATCACTGATCTTGGATTAGGGCATGGTGCCCTGTAATTCCTTTCAGTTAGACCAAATGGCTCGAAATGACTTAAAATGGTTCAGGGGAAAAAGGGTAGCACTCATTTCTAGGCTCAGGAACCTTCAATCAGTAGGGGAGAGAGAGTCAGGAAGAGAGAAGATAACAGAGAGAGAAAGAGGGGTACTGGGGTAAGAGAGCACAGAAATATGGTAAAGAAATATGTCTAGAAAGGAAATGTGGGAGTAGGTAAAAAGTTAAAATTGTAAAATAGTTTTACTGTTAAAAGAAGCTCCAACCTGGATTAAATGATTGTGGCTATTTCAGACATAGAATGGCCCTTGGACTCGCTACCATCTATAGGCATGAAGTAGGCTGCTCAACCCCTAAGGCAGACATTCTTCAATGCCTACTTCAAAGCCAAAGGATGTCCTCCAAAGGGAGGCCCAAAGGGAGAATCCAGTAATCATGGAGATCAATGGACAGGGGAGCCTTCCCTAGGAAAGCCACATGGAGCCTATTCACGAACATTTTTCACCTTCAGGGCAGGGAGTCTAAAACTTCTGCCCGGTCTAATATTGGAATTGTTCCAGGCAATGACTGCCATGTGTTTCCTGTTCTTCTTATTTTTAATGTGAGTGTTTATTGAAGTTATCCTGACTCTATTCCACCACTGAATATTGTGGTTGTGTATGTGTGTGTGCGTGTGTGTGTGTGTGTGTTTGGGGAGGGCTGGGTCCTCTGGATCAAGAGGAGATGCACATGGACCTGTCGTAGATGCTACCTGAACATTATCCCCTGACATAAAGACTACCATGCACCATCCAGAGATCCTGGGCTTTGAGGTTGATGCCATCCTTGGGACTTTTGAGTTAACTCCCCTTAGAGGAGAGTAGGTGAATGCATTGCAGGTATAGGAAGGAGAATAAAAGAAATAGTTGATATTTGATAGGATTGCACTTCCCCTCCCCACATTTTTAAAGATAAGCATAACTATGTAACTTGCTTTAGCTAATCTAATGTGAACAGAAGTGATGTGTGTCTTTTCTGAGCACTATTCTTTTTTCTTGTGGTAAAAAACACAACAAAAAAATTACCATCCATTTTTAAGTATACAGTTAAGTAGTGTTAAGTATATCACATTCTTGTGAAACAGAGCTCCAGAACTTTTTTATCTTATAAAACTGAAACTCTATACCCATTAAATAACTTTCCCATCTCCCTTCCCCCTTCCCAGCCTCTGGTAAACACCTGTAGTGGATTGAATTATGTCCCCCCCAAAACTCACTGAAACTTGAGTTGTGTCCCCCAAGTTTTATGTATTAGAAACTTAGCCCCCACTGTGATTGTTAAGAGAGCAGGAAATCCTACTGTGGTAATTGAAAGGTGGAGCCTAGAAGAGGTGATTGGATTGTAGGACTGTGTAGTAGTGAATGGATTAAAAATGGTGGTCAGGGGCGTGGTTCTGAGGGCTTTAAAAGAGGAGAGTCTGTCTTTGTCTCTCTCTTGCTCTCTCCCTCTGCTCTCTCTGCTTCCACCATCTTGCAATGTGAGACCCCTGGGTCACTGTCACCACCACCAGATGGATTTTGGACTTCCTAGCTTCAGAAACTGTAAGGAATAAATTTCATTTTTCTTTATAAATCATCCAGTTCTGTGTATTTTGTTACAAGCACGAGAAACAGAATAAGACACCACCATTCTACTATCTATGAATTTGACTACTCTAGGTCCTTAATATAAGTGGAATCATACAGTATTTGTCTTTTTTTGACTGGCTTATTTCACTTAGCATTATGTCCTCAAGGTTCATCCATGTTGTAGCATTTGACAGGATTTCTTTCCTTTTTAAGGCTGAATAATATTTCATTGCATGAATACATTTTGTTTATTAATTCATTTGTCAATGGATATTTGGGTTGCTTCTACCTCTCAGCTATTGCGAATAGTGCTGCTATGCTGAGCATTGTGATTAAGAGCCAGCGTATGATTCACCATGTTTCCTTTTTCCTGCTGCCATGAGCAAGGAAGCACATGTCAAGATGAGCCTCTCTCAGCCTGGGTCACTGAATTATTAAAACGAGCAGAGCTTTCTGCTGATCCAAGATGGACACGTAGAGTGAGTGAGAAATAAACATGTAGGTTGTTGTAAGCCACTGAGATTTTGTGGTCCTTTTTTTTCCCCAGGGAAAACTGATAAGGTTTTCACTTCTGAAATTATTTATTTATTTATTTTTTCAATACATATAATAGACAAAGTTTATTATTAAGAAACTTTAGTAGTAGGTTTCTAAAAAGAATGTTTTGATTTTAGAATACTGAAAGATGACAATCCATGACAGGACATATAGTAACTACAATATTAAAATATTAAATACTATCTAAATTAAAAGACCATAATTCAAATTGCTAATTATAATCTCTGTGTCTTGGTAGAAGTGCCTGTAGGTTCCCTTCATGAAATTCACCCCACGTTCTCATGAAGACTACGAAGCATCACCACAAATTATTTAATTTACAGTAATTAATGCTGAGTTTTCTTTGTGCTTAAGCATGCACAATTACAGGGATTTTAAGTTTTCTTTAAAATGTATCTCAAGCATCTCTTAAAGTGCAAGCTACGAATAGGCTTTATCCTTAACGAAAAAGGTTTCTAAAAGAAGTATGAGCTAGCTATCCGATACTGCCAAGAGTGGTTATAAAACTAACCAAAGGAAACCGGCAGTACTCTGCTAACTCTTTTAGTGTAGCAACCTCCTCCTTGGTAGTTCTTAGCTCTTATTATACTACCAGCCGAACATGTACTCCATTGCTTTAGATACAAGACTTTCATCTTTTTTTGGCGTTTGTCTGTCAGAAATAACCTGATAGTCACTAGTAGAAGCTTTGTATGCTGTAGCAAGAGGTCTCATGGTAGAAATCCTAGGAGTACTTCCAGGTTGTGTTGGTGTACCTAAGGTTCTGATCGGTGGTGTAAAGGCTAGAGATGGAGATGATAAAGCACATCTGTCACTGTTTTCCATAACACTTTTATCAATACATGGTTTTACACCAATCATAATGGATTCACCAAAAATTCTCCCATCTTTGCTTAAGGCTTTCCGGGCCTGCAGTTTAGACTGATAACGAATATGCATCCAATTTCCTGTGTTAGACATCCCATGTTTTTTTTTTTTTCCTTTTTGTCTTTTTTCATGACCGGCAACGGATCGCAACCCTCAGTGTCACACCCGTACCAGACCGGGACCGGCCACGGGATCGCAACCCTCGGTGTTGCTCCCGCCCCTCGGTGTTGCTCCCGCCCCTCGCTCAGCCAGCGAGCGGCCGGTCTGTATGTGGGATCCGAACCCTCGGCGGGAGCGCCACCGCGCTTCCCAAGCGGCGCACTATAGCAGTGCGCCACCGGGCCAGCCCCAGACATCACATGTTTTAAGATATTCCCATATTGTGCAAATTGTAATAATATATAGGAAGCAGATGCTTGAGGAAACCCAAACACAGCCCCCCAAGTGTCATCGAGGTGATCTTCAGAAGTCAGAGAATCTCCTTGAGTATAAAAAGGATCCAACTGGGCAGGAGATAATGTCGTCTTTCGTGGTTGACCAATATTTGCTGGACTAAACATACTTTGCCCTGTCCCAGGAGTAGTAGTTGTAACCCCAACAAGAGGACTCTGCATTACTGCAATGTTTGGCTGTCTTCTTGAAGTTAAAGGTGTTGACCCAAGTCCTGGGCTGGAAATGTCATCGTATATACTTCTAACTGGTGGAGCTCCACTTTTATCTTTATGAGCTGGTACAACTGGTTGTGGTGGTGACCCACCTGCGAGTAAAGGTGATCTCATTTCCATTACTCCTACTGAAGGGCCACTAATTGATTGAGGTTGTGGAGTCACTGGAGCTGGCAAATCCCCCATTAAAAATCCAGGTAAGAACTGGGCATTAACTCCTGGTTTTGGCTATGTGGGTGAACCCAGCATCATTGGTTCAGATCCCAGCGTGGGCACCTGGGGTTCCACAGCAAAGGCTGCCATCGTGGCTGCAACTACACTTAATCTCCGGACCTTCCCAATTTTCGAAAATGGCGGAAACTCCCACTTCTGAAATTATAATTTGACTCTTCCAAAGTTTGCAGAGAAGGACTTTGGTCAGAGACTCCCATAATGGGAAGGCTGCTATATTTGAGCCCTGTACTTCCCTTGTGTTCCCTCAGTTACACCTTCTTCTTGAAGTTTGTTTGTTTGTTTGGTGGCCATGGCCATACCCATGGCTGCTGCTGCTTCTTTAGCTGGCTGAAGCCTAGAGAAATCCCAAATCCCCTTTTCTCATTCCCTAGTGTTTATCTTGTTTTTTACATTGTATTTTGGATTGGCAACTTCATTGCACCCTGTGTATTTGATAGGATTGGGTTGGGCCATAAGCATCAAAACCCCCCAAAAAACAGTGGCTGAAAAAAATAGAAGTTAATTTTTTCCCTCACATTAAAAACACAGGGTTGATATGGTGGGTCCATGACCAACTGGATCACAGTCTCCTATCTCATTACCCTGTCACTCTTATTATGCACTTTATATATTTTGGTCAAAAATACCTGATACACCTTTATTCCCAATATGTGCATTTTAGCCAGCAGAAAGGATAAAAGAGAGAAATGCCCTCTCTTTAAGGCAACTTTCAGAAGCTGCATATATCACTTCCATGTACATCCCATGGTAGAATTTAGTTACATCAGACCCATCAAAGGAACCTGGGAAATATGGTCTTTATTCTAGGCAGTAATAGTCCCAGCTTTTAGTAAATAACATGGAAATTCTTCTTTTGAAGAAGAGAAAAGCTGATATTAAAGTATAAGTAGGTATGGTAGGCAGTATAATTGTCCCCCAAAGATATTCACCTCAATTCCCAGAATATTCCTGTGACTATATTACCTTCCATGGCAAAAAGGATTTTGTGATGTGATTAAGGTTAGGACCGTGAGAAGGGGAGAGCATCCTGGATTATCCAGGTGGGCCCAATCTAATAATATGGTTTCTTAAAAGCAGAGAATTTTTCCCAGGTGTGGTCAGAAGGGAGCTATGACTATAGAAAGAGGGTTAGAAAGAGGTACATGTGAAAGGACTTGACCCACCGTTGCTGGCTTTGAAGATGAAGAAAGCAGACCATGAGCCAAGGGATGTAGGAGGCCTTTAGAAACTGGAGAAGGCAAGGGAACAGATTTCCCCTATAAACCCAGCTGCCCTCAATCTCAGCCCAGTGAAATCCATGTCGAACTTCTAACCTACAGAACTGAAAGATAATAAATTTTTATTGTTTTAAGCCACTAAGTTTAGGGTAATTTGTTATGGCAGCAATAGAAAACTATTATACTAGCAGTCTCAGCCACAATGCTCCCCTTTGGCCACCCAAATATCTGTATACTCTTTTCACGTCTAGAACAGACTCACCTTCTATCCAAGAGAGAAACCCCTCAGATTCCATCCATCTCTTCCAGTTAGTGTCCAGCTCAAAGTCTAAGACCTCCAGGAAATATTCAGTCCTTTCTATCAGGTCTGGATGTTGCCAAATTATCTGCTCCCCAAACACCTAATATACTACAGTGGGGTAGAAAACACTCATTCTCTAGCTCCAACTTCCTTGACTGGCGTATCTGGCAGCCTCGATGGATTTCCCATGCCCGCTCTCCCTCCTACCTCCTGCCTCCTGCCTCTGCCTTCCGGGAATTTCTTCCTTGTTCTGCATCCTCCAGGGCCAATCTGAAGGGGGCGCTGAAGAGTTCATCCTATTTGGAAGCTGCCGAACTTTGGCATCCCACTCTTTCTCGTATGGGTTTGAGTGCCCAAGGATTGCTTTGGAGGTTGAAAACACTTCTGGATTTTCCAAGTTTGCAGTTTCTTCAGCAATATACTTTTCACAAACATTTGGTAGGCCTCCAATGTATTTACTTTCAGTCAGTTCCATTTGCAATTAACAATAGCCAGGTCTTGTCTAAACATAATTTTTAAGTCTAGGATTATTCTTTTAAATAATGGCCTCTATACTTGTCCTATCCCTCCCCCTCAAGAAAATGATGGCTACCTCAAGGGCTCATGAAACAATAGAGTTGGGGTAAGAAGAAAATACTTTTATTCTGATATTTGCTGCTGGACTAACCCTCATTGTCTGACTGATAATTTTTAATAGAAATTGGTTAAAAAATTAAGACTTGGGGCCACAGTCTTATCTCCAGATATGACTGTTGATGCAGCGCATACCACCTTTCTCAGCCCTCCGAAACTCCCCATTAACAACCTTTTGTCAAATCAGTTTTCAAGCTGCAGGCAGATATCCTGCTCTTAGCTGAACTATATTCCTTTCTTTCTCTGCTTTCACACTGTTCCATTCTAACCTGAGTTTATCTTTTTTTTATACAACTTTGCTGAAGGTCAGGAAACATCCAATATACACCTATATTCTCAATCTTTCCTATCTTTTTCCCCACCTGTCAAGATGTCCTTGGTCACTTTACTATCACATATTTGCCACAGAATGACACGGATCACCAGTTTTCCACTTTGCTTATGTTTTACTGTCCAATCCCTTGCTGGTACAAGAGCCCCTTACTTCAGGCAAATGATCACTGATCATAACACACAACCTCGGAAAGATACATGCTCTGCCTAGCTCCAGGCCTCTATAACCTGTGCGCCACACAGGGTCATAGCACAAGGACATTAGAAACTAGAGCTCCTCCCTAGATCTTTCATCTAGACTGGCATTTTACACTAGTGTGTCTAACATCCCTTCCTGGACCGAAGATAAGAGTCTCTAATGAGGCTTCACTTCTGCTTTTAATCCTAAGAGGAAACTTTAAGAAATTTTAGTTTAAAGGTAAGGATCAACTGACTACATAAGAAGGATTTAAAGAGCTTTAGCCCTACAATCTGAGAATCATATTGTCCCCAGTGTTGTGGCCCATTTGTAAAAACTTCATTTTGGCTACTTTCCCTATACGGAGATCCCCTTCAGAGTAAATTGCCACCAGTAGCTAGAGAAAAATTGGGTAAACTAAAAAAATAACTTTTACAAAGACAGAGAGCTACTGAATGCAAAAATGTCTAAAAGAACTAAATTCAAGAGGGGACAAACCCTAGAAATTTATATAAATACATAAAAATGATAGCAATGTAATCAAACTTTTGAAAACTCACTAAAAGTGTCATTTTCCAGCAAAAGTATGATATTGAAAAATTAATTCCTTAAAATTATTTTTAGTAAACTTAAGATGTATTTCATATGAGAATATCATTTTAATTTAGTTACTAGATATTTTTTCAGATATTGTTCACATCTTTCTTTTTAGGACTTGACATGACTAATAATGGATTAAATAATATTTTTGTTGAGTTAAATAAAATGTAAACTATTTTTATTTAATTATCAAAACCTAACTCACGTGCACAAACATGGGGAACAAATGTAAACAGCATCCACAAGGCCCACAGCAACCCATTGCCATGTACAGGCCAATTCTCAAAATATGACTTTGAGATCGAGCAATTGAGCAAGAGAAGATTCTCGATTCACAGCCATCTGTGTGTCCCAGTTTTGTAGCATTAATATGGCATGCATTTTGTGTACCTTCCATGAATTTGGTGTCAATGCTGTTTGTGATATGCCAGAAAAACCCAAAACTCAACAAGTGGAAGTAAATATTAAAAAATAAGATTTTTATCAGGTAGGGTTGAGCTTTGGTGGGCCACACATATTATTGTAATATCAAGATTTAAAAAAAATTCCGCAATAAATAATTTTTGCCACACTGGGTGCGGTGTGCCTCCACTGAGAATGCATAATGTAAATGAACTTCAGCCACTGATAGGAAATATTTATAAAATTAATGTTTTGATTATTTGCAAGAAATATATGTCCGCAATAAATAATTTTTGCCACACTGGGTGCGGTGTGCCTCCACTGAGAATGCATAATGTAAATGAAGTTCAGCCACTGATAGGAAATATTTATAAAATTAATGTTTTGATTATTTGCAAGAAATATATGTTTTTCCTTGAATTACATAATTTAATTTTTTTTGCCTTCTTTTTTTTTTTTTTTTTTTTTTTTTTTTTTTTTTTTTT